AATTGCTTCCGCGCCTGTTTTTTATGTGGTCGTGGTATTGCACCGGGCAAGCCGGCCCATTCGGGCGAAGGTGTTAAAGCGGGCTCTACCACCGGCATTTTGACTTACTCAGTTTCTTCGACCAAGGCGACTAAGATTCCTTTATTTCTCCAGTCGGGATCTGTAGCCGCGACTTTAACTTCCACTAATTTGTCGTCATTTGGAAACTTCTCCCAGAGTCGTGAGCCTTCTTCTCGTTTCGCTAGTATATGTAGTATCTTCTTGAATTTAGAATCTTTGCTTGCTTCTGCCTTCTCGTATAATGCGACGCCGATTTTCTGCAAAATAATGTATAATAATATCAAAGAGTTACTTTCAAGAGGAATAGGCAGTCAATTATTCCATTTACACCGATATTTTTGTAACAAATAAACTCAAAAACTACTGGAGCGATTTCATGAATTCTTTTACTAATGTAAAGCTACATTATAACAAAGTAACATAGGCAATATATATAGAAAAAACATAGATTTTTTATTTCCGTGCACATAAAGTTTCCAGTTAAAGTTAATGGTTACTGAGCATTTATATTTACATCAGTAAGTGGACACGTCTCATTTATTAGGACTCCGACGATTTTCCCCTTGCTGTCAACTGCTTTGAATGACAATCCCTCGTGTAGTGGTGACATACAGAACTCCTCCAGCTCGGCGCACTCTCCGTTCGGGCATAGCTGGATCTTCTTGTTCAATGGTTCATCGATGAAAAATGTTCTGCCAATAAGTAATCATACTATTATAAATACGAAAGTTGAAATGGATGGATGTTTGTTATAGTTTGTAGCCTAAACGGCTGAACGGATTTCGATGAAATTTGGTGTAGATGTAGAGAATAGTCTGGAAGAACACATATACTACTCGCTTTTGTTTTTTTGTTTAATCCACGCTGATGGAGTCGAGGGCGAAAGATAAGAAATAAATTTAAAATAAAAAACAGTATTACTTTTCTCTTTTTTGTATTCTAACAATTTTAAATTGTTACTAACTTGTAGACATTTGTTATTTTCATAAAATCAATACTAGTTTAACAGTAAATGAGAACATAATATCAAGATGTTTCTTTTCTCTAAGATAGAACATTTCGAAAGAAATGATAAAATAAAATTTTTAACGAAATGAAATTATTGACCTATAAACATTAAAAATGAATCGTGAAGTATTAATAAGTTTTAAACTTGAAAACATAACAAAGAAGCGTTTTTCCTTCCCGTAAGAATTCCTGTTATGTACAAATCTTTACCCTATTTACTATAAATTCATTCGAAAAATATCTTTCAATGCGGATGTCTATGGGCAATGGTCTCTGCGCTATTAGCGAATACGATAGCCGTTCGTTCGTCACCTTATACTATAAAAAGACGATTTTTTTGCTCACCTTTTCAGTAGTTTCAAGACCTCATCACGATCCTCCATAAGTAGGGGTTTCACTGTGAACTCACGCGTTTGAGACATATTTGAAGCAATAGTTGAATACTAGAAATAGGAATAAAATAATTAATTGGATATTTTATATTATGAGGTTAGGATTCATAGGCGGTAGTTCTAACCTCATATTTTATGAGGTTAGGACTACCGCCTATCAAGTTTTCTTTATACGGTCTTATTTTAAGACTTACGAAAGTAATAGACATTGATTTAGATATCCCGAGTTTTATTGAGATAGTGGGTGCGATTACCAATGATTTATATTAAAATTTACATGTAAATTGACTTCTTTTTAGTTAATAAATTAAGTAAGAAGCCAATATTCCTTAATCAATCTACCCCAGTTTGTCAAACCTTCGATATCGATTTAATTAGTGCAAATATGCGCTGAATTATTTTTAAACCTTGCATGTGAAGGGCGTATCACTGACCGATAGGTGAATGCCCTGCAACTCTTGCATAATATAATAATAATTATATCCTTTCCGATAAAGAGATAAGCAAATGCATTGTTTAACTCATATAGAACAATGTTATTTGCATTTAAGTCAACAGTTATAAGCAATGCACCCGTGATCTTATTATGATTATTGTCAAAACGCCTCTCTCGTTGAGGGCATACGCCTTTATAGTAATGATTTTTAAATTCATAAAAAGATAATTTCCCTTGCAATAGGTTCGAGATTTTAAAAGTTACTCGTGCTAAGTGATTTAATTTGTTTTGCTATTAATCATTACTATTTACAAAATTATTTATGCGTAGAAAAATATCATTTTTATTTTTAAAGCCGTCATATTTCGTTTTAAATACTTTAAGAAATCATTTCAATATAAACAAATACAAGTAATTATAACGCTTACCAGCTATTACAAATTGCATAAACAATATTAATTTACATTTATGCTTACCGTTTTACTGCGTTCCAATGTAATAAATACGTATGGATGCACTTTTATTTGTATTTGTTTGAATAAAAATTTTAAACAAGAATTAGTGCAAAATAACACGACGGCTTGTCCAGGACTCAACCAGTTGACTTGGCGTACGCCTGTGTTATAACGGTTTGAGATAAATATAGGTACTATGTTGAGGTATGGTGTTGATTTTCCTTTTCATAAGAGGTAAAACCGGTGAACAAAAGTGATTGAAGGAATATGATGTGACTAATGGTACTTGAGCGATGTCTATAACGACTGTCAGTCTGTCCGAAACGATAGCTTACAGTATTTTTGTGCGTAACTAATCAAGTCCGTGAAGTTTGTGACAACAAAAAAATTTAAGATTTACACAGCGAAGTCTTTTTTTGATTTCAGTGACTTTTTGTGATGAAACGTCTTTTTTTTTGCGTTTTATAATTTAATTTTTAAAATATTGTTACCTTGTTGGTTATTAGACTACATTTTTGGTATAACTAGCTCAAATTTTCGAGCCTGCTGTTACTAATATTAAAAATGCGAAAGTTTAGATGGATGGATGTTTTTTAAAGTTTGTAGCAACTCTGAACAGATTTCTATGATGTGGCATAGATGTAGAGGATAATCGAGAAGAAAACATAGACTACTTAGTTTTGTTTTTAATATTCAATTCTACGCGAACGGAGTCGCGGACGAAAGCTAGTACATACATATTTCTATGTAACTTTAACATTGAACTATCTTGCCCTTAAGTATAATTTTATCGCTCAACTAATTGTTTTGTTTCTTAACCGGTTATTGCAGTTTATAACTGCATAGTAAATGTATAAAAACAAGTACGTTTTCTATTATAATAAGCAGAGATGACTAGGATTGATATCACTTCACTGGTAGAAACTTCAATAAAGTTAGTCTTGGCTTTAAAAGAGATGTCATTTTTTTGAGAAAACAGTTGGACAACTGAGGTTTTGAGAGTTAGACTTATGGGGTGTTATCGTCGCTTCGCGACAAAGCCCCCTGTAAAAATAAATTAAAAAAAAAGAGATGTCCAACGCCGCATGTGTTTCTCCGTCTCCTATGGCATATTAAATGTTGTGTAAGCCAGGATTTTATTAAGCAGAACTAATTTATCCAATAAACAGTTAGTGAGAATGACTGACAGAATTTTGATCCTGCTGTATGCAGAAGAAAGGTATGAAATTATTATGAGACAGGATGCGGAGCTTATAAGGAATGGGTGAACAATGTCATTAATAAATAAACCACTTAAGGAGGAAGAAATAAATAAAAAACTTGTCATTTACTTAATTTTATTTAAATCACACGAATACATTGAGATTATGCATGCAAATTGACAAAGCTATCAATTGACAAAATTTTACATCTAAATGGGAATTTCTAAAATTTTGAATTTATCTTAATTTAACGTGTACATAAATATTAATATATCTAAAGGAACTACATTTGGTACTAAAAGAAATAAATCACATAAAACGCCTGATGTTTATGAAGAGCTATTTTGCAAAAAACACACATTGCTAGAATTGCTATGTTCGGTAACTTGAATAGTTCATAATAATTATTTTTTTTTCAGTCTATAAATACTTTTTGGGTTATCACATAAAGTTTCTAGACTTTTAAAAAATCCGTAAGGTACCAAAGTTGTTTTTGTTAAAACTAACAACAAGTGCTGACTAATAGAATGTTCTGAAATAGACAATAAAAGGTCGTCTATTTATCGATATACATTTTGGTAGATATTTGGCGATCAAAGAAGACAAAAAAACGACAAAACTAGAAGTGTTATATTTTACGTTTGTTTTTGTAATTGTACATCTACCAAATTGTAAATCGATGCATCTATTGATTTCGAAATGAACTAATAGCTTCTCATTCTCTTACCAAGACTGTCTGAACATTTATATTAAATCAATTTTATGAAAAAAACAAGCTATTTTTACGTGCCATTCCAAAGCGGAAATCGCTGTCAGAGAATCGAATAACCTAACAATCACAGGGACATTTTGATATCTTACAAATAAATACAATGGAATCGTGCTTACAACTTCTGATTTTTTACGAAAAATAAATAGAAATACAACAATACTAAGAGTCAGTCCCACCAAATTCTTGTAAATCAGATAACAAACCAACGAGTAACATGCGATGGAAGTATCGGATTGTTACTTGTGTACTTGTCAGTCAGTGGTGGGACAGAACTTAATGTCATCCACAAGAAGTCTCATGGAATAAAAGAAAACAAAATATACAACATTATTGCTAGAAGTCGTGCAAAAACATTCTCGTTTGTTATTAACAACGTTAATTACATAACAATTCATATAAATATATTTGTAATATTTAAAGAGCAAAATAAAAAAGCTCCTCTTGGTTGAGGTAACTCTAAAATATAGTGTACACGCACTTTTTGACCGACTTCCCAAAAGAAGGAGGTACTCAAGTCGTCTGTATGTTTTTTTTTATGTGTGTTACGGCATAACCCCGACCGATTTTGATCATTCTTTTTTTATCCGAAAGGTAATGCTTGCAGGTGGGTCCCATTTTTTAGTTTGATTTTTTTGATATATACATCGAAATACTACTTGTACTTTATATAAATAAACAGTACAAACTGAAGTGTAACAGATAAAGATATTAATATTTCCATTATGAGTCCTGTAATTCATATTTATTGTAAGATAAGTGCAAATAGTTTCCTGTTTAGATATCTGTGAAGTGTGGATGAGTCGATATTGTAAGTGCCCTACATTTAGTCTTATTTCTAGTGGTATATTGTTGATAGGTGATTCTGTAAACAAAACAAAGAATAATTAACATCAATATCTCCGAAATCTATCTAATATTATAAATGCGAAAGTTTAGATGGATGTTTATTAGAGTTTGTAACTTAAACGGCTGAACGGATTTCGATTAAATCTGGTATAGATTTAGAGGATAGTCTGAAAGAACACATAGGCTATTCAATTTTGTATTTTAAATCAATTTTTAATAAACAGAGTCGCGGGCAACAGCTTTACTAGCATCTGCTTTTCTATAAACATATAACGAAGTATTCTGCGTTTCATCTAAAGTAGATACAAAATTGGAGTTCTCCTTGCTTACACTTCGTACCAATAAACAGGAAAAAGAAGATTATACGAGAGGAAATCCCTTTGTTTGTTCAACAAGTGAAAATTATATAAAAACCATTGATGTCAGACTTGATTAGATACTTCGCCATTAAACTACTAAGTTTCATCCAATTTAAATGTATGAGTAACGTACTTTGCTTATAGCTCTTTGATGTAGACTTTGGCCTCGAGGTGCGGTGGCAGCGGGTGCGGCGCGTACGCCAGCTCCTCGTAGAAGATGCCGTACACGCTCCTAAAAACATCATTTATTACAACCACAGTCAAGGAAGTTTATTTCCAACCCATTTCGGTGAATTATTGACGCTCACAATGGTTGATTGAGGAAGGTGTAGATTTGGGTTGTTGCAGAGCAAGACTCTGAATCACTCTAGTTCAGGGGTTCCCAACCTTTGTACAGTAGAGTTCATTCTAAAATATTGGTCCAGTGACTGGCACCACCTATCTTTAATTAACCAACTTCTTGCATTACATCTTATTTTATAAGTAATGTTAGCAAACGAACCACTCATAAATACAATATCGCACATATATGAACGTATTTAATAAACCTAAATAAATAATACAACTAACAAATAAATAAAAATAATTCACATTTTTAAGGAAAATTTTGTGTGGAATAGTTGTGAGCATATTCGAATCAATCCATGGGCGGTATGTTGCCCGCGGATATTGGGAACCTCTGCTCTAGTTAGTTTGTCAATCAATCTAGAGGACTCCCCAAAGACATTTATAATAACTTTTTAATAAGTGTTTCTCACACTCGGTCATCTAACAAAGACAAGGACGAGATTTGAATAAATTGTCACATGTAAGAATATTGAGATACAATTTATATATCTTGAGAATACTTTTATCACTGCTATTGTATAGAATATCATTTCAAATCGAGCCATGTTTCTATTTACTATCAGATTTCACTGAGACAGTAAGGTTTTTTGTTATTGTTTCGGTTTTTTTCTGTTACTAGTTATTTCTTTTTTATTTTCAGAAAATCCTAAATAACTTAAGTATTCACTGTTGAAACATACCTAACAAAATATTGTTAACTCAGAGAGCGACAATGAAAAGTTTTTAACTAGTGTTTCTGCAATACTCGCGATAAAGTATACTTTGAGTGTTTGATTTACTTGTAGTTGAGTCTCTCCGCGGCTGCCGCAGAGAATGCTGACGTGGTGTCCATTCGCATAGCGCTGGCTCCCACTTCTCTTGCCAGACGTCTGAAAGTTAGAAAAATAAATTAGCTCCAAAGTCCTTAAGATGTAGGTATGTTTTTGGGAAAACGCGTAGAAGAAATCTATCAAGTAAATGGAAAATGTTAGTTGTAAACAGTAACATTGTCATCGCAAGTAGCTACAAACCAATGTAATTTTTTTAAAACATATGCCTTCTCCAAGAACTATATAGATCGATCCTAGACCGCACATATCCTTTTCCAGTCCGGTCTATTTTGTGTCAAGTAGACTTTTATAAATTTGGTAGACTTAGGCCCGGACCCACCACTGGCTGATAGCTCAGATAGCTTAAAATGACGTCACTGTCAGATAAGGTAATGTCATGTGGACGTGGTAAATTAACTATAGCCCTGAAAAGAACTAGACATGACAATCGTACAGACTGTGTGGCCTTATAAATGGTGCTAAAGTAATATATCAAATTATATTTCTTTTCATTGCCCTTAATAACTGAGCCCGCAAGCTAAAGGACGCGATGCACTAATCGACAAATTGCCGCGCGGTACTAACATATGTAATGTACTAATGCTAGGTTTCTGAAGTTTTAATTTATTTTAGCATTATTCAGCGTTTCCTTAATGTGGGGTTAACTTATGTTTCAAAAGAGTAAAACTTAAGTTACGTAGTTCGAAATTACATTAAGTTACCCGAATCAAAACAGTAACGAATGTTTAAATGTAGATGGGAAACCGGTTGTAAGTCGATTTTCTAGGGCTGCCAGATTAATGTTCATGTCTGCCATAACAGTATTGCGTTGACTTTATAACAGGATAATGATTGAAAAGGCGATACTTGTATTTTTACCACGATATAAATTTTACCGAAAGTAGTGCACGAAAATAAATTTATATGCTATTTTCGCATGTCATTACAGTTAAAAGGTTTACTGACTCGTTTATAAATTGTAACATGAAGTTCAATTATTTAGGGATTTTCTTTCGATCTACCCGTTTGTGGCAGCCCTAATGATACTTTATTATCCGACATCACAATTGCATAATGCAAGCGTCTTTATTACTGTCATATTATCCTGTCACCAGCTGTCACGCTTTTTCGTTATCAGAAATTATCAGCAATAATACACTTGTAATTATTGCTGTTTTTGTTTATAATGTAAGCTTATGTTATTTATCTATTATTGTTATTAAAGGGCAAAGCAATTGCAAACAGGGTTAAGGTTTTATACAAGGAACTAAGCGCGTATGCAATTTTCTTTGTCAAAGGCTACGAAGGCGTTTTGTATTTATTATTTTTATTCCGATCTATGTATTGAGGTCGCAGAGATGTTGCAGTTGCTTGTCCCTTAGTTATAATTAAAACATTAGGGACATTTTAACAAATCTTTTCTGTGTTGTGTAGACGTTATAAAAATTTTGTGCACTAACACCAAAAGTAAATTTGAGACGTGTATCAGGTTTGCATTTGCGGAAACTTTTGGCTTGCACTATGACATTTAGGGCCTGTCCCACCAATCCAACGTGTAAAATATGTGATGGATGTATCCGATTTTGTTGCCTTATCTGACAGTGATGTTATTTTTAAGCTATCTGAACCTCTATCAACTAGTGGGACTGGCCCTTGATATTAAACTTTTGATATTTTGACTTTGGGGCCCTGGATATCAAACAATTAAAACAGTCAACGACTTTTAACCATAGACATTACTGATATATTTAAATGAAATAATTTAATTATGCTGTTAATCCATTCGATTTTAATTATCAGTTGACATTTAATCAAATTGTATAGTTTAATAACGTTTTGTGGATATAAATAATTTCTTTACCATTATAAACAATCCCGAAATAAGCTTTAATCTGCGTATACAAGAAATTGACAATGTCGTGTGCGTATTGTTTTATTTTACTTTGATTTACTTTGAGGTTTTAGATCATTAATCTCTATAAAAGCTCAAGAAAGCTATTTAATATCAAACAAAAGCGTAACATGAAACGTTTTCTTCTTTTTATTTTAACAGAATGGGAAGGATGTCAATCTTGTATTTCTATGTTATTTTCTATCTGTTTTAATTTAAACTGCAATGAATATGACATGTTAAGGTGTGGCAATAAAGCTATACGAGTTAATCTGTTGTGCCCATAACCTAACGCGGAACAATAAAATAATAATAAAATTCCTTAACGTAATAAGCGGATCGAAACGAAAAGAATTGAATAAATCACAATAACATTACAATCGAGGTTATTAAAGCGCATTGTTTATGCACTAGCAAGATGTAATTCGTCATAAGTCTCAATCGTAGCCACGCATTTAATTATAACTTAAGGGCAATATTAATAAGATATCGACCAAGTAATTGTTTGCCATAAAAGTGTTAAATCAATGTATAAATTAATAATGTCAAGGAGTTTTAATGTAACTAACGTGATATAGATTTTTTTCGTACTCAAAGTATAATAAAATTACACAATAACCTTGCGGTTTACTCCAAATCAAGATTTTGTAACTTAAAATTTATAAACAAATGTAATATACTATGATTACAAAGCGATTACACTATTTTATATTAAATTTTAAACTTTTTTTTTAAGTTGCGAAAACTACCATACCCAGCTAAAATATTGAAATGTTTGCAAAATGTGCTTCATTCAAGTATTTTGTAATTAACGAAATTTAGCAATTAATTTAAGACTTCTCCTTGCTTACAGTCTTTAAGTTTATTTTTAAAAATAACGGAGACCTAGATATCTACAATATCAGGCATTGTCTACCCTTAATTCTTTCCTTGTTAGATAAAGGTGGGACAGTAAGGGACTAAAATTAGACCTCCGGTAAACACACTTATCAGACAAAACGCGGAATTGCTTCCACTTCACGCCTGTCTGGTCTATTATAAAATTTCTTAAAACCGTAACTCGTATCAGTTCCATGAGATTTGTAGTGTACTTACTCAGATTCCTCACAGAGCACTCTCATAAGTCCGCGTCCTCGCCACTCGGAGTGCGTTGAAGCTATCCGCACCTCCATAACAGTGTGACACTCCTGCGGCAGCTTGTCCCAGATGCGAGCCTCTCTGTCCAGGTGGCATAGCAGCTTGAGGATGCGCTTGAACTTCGGGTGGGGACACTCGTCTGATTTGTCTGTGTAGTCGACCTCCTGTGGGATTAATACATTGTTTAGGATTGTTCTTCGTTATACTTATTTATGATATAAGAAACTCTAGCGAAAGTGTCTTAAAGCTCCGCTAATTGGAGAGGTACGCCGCTATTTCTCAAATGTTAAACTTCAATGACATTGATAGCTGCAAATACTGATGCTCTGTCCTTTTAATCCAGTCCTTTTCCACCTTGATTAAATCATCTATTGGAATTATTAATAACTAGCTGTTATCGTGCGACTTCATCAGCATATAATTATGAAAATTTTATTTTATTGTCAATGTCAAAAATGTCAAAATACCAATTACTTTACTATGGCAATCTTGCTTCCTTGATGTTGGCAGCAACTTATGGTCTCTTTACCACATTAGGATTTTTATCCAAAATATTTACCCCCTATATTAAATGGCGTGGAATATATAGCCTAAAGCGTGACGTAAGTGTAGGGCTTTTCAAGAAAGAATTATTTAAAAATTGCTGTAAATGCTTAAACTTAGGCAACAAAGAAGTGTGTGTTTACGCTTTATTATAATAGTATAAATAACCTAACAGTTGAACCTTGTTTATTAAATAGAAGACGTGTGTTATATTTAATCTGGAGAACAGAAAACATTACATAAACTTAATTGTGTTATAAAGTTGTCATTGAAAGTTATGTTGAAAGGGAATTCAATTTGTAAAGGCTCTGACAACAACGTCTCATATAACTCCGGGGTCGTTGTGGGGGAGCGCGGATTGTCCGTAGATTCCCCCTGGGGCTTCGTTGCTAGGCAACCTTTTATCGGTTTTCTGTCATCTGTCGCAAACTTGGAACTTTCAAGGGAATTAGTTTGCGCTTGTTTATTATTTTCCTTTCACGAAAAATGTGGTGGAAAAATAACATTGAAAAACGTTATTACTAAAAATTATTTATTCATTTCTGTCCGATATTAAAAAACAAAGAATTGTATTTGATAGAATTTAATGTAATAAAATAACTAAAGTGTTTAATTCCGAGTACGAATAGTAACAAAAACATGTTCACTCCCTTATAGTTTCTCTTATTTTGGATTAGTTTAATTATTAATAAATTTTCTTTTTTTTTTATTCGCAGAAATATAAGTGTTTATTTATATCTATAAATAAATAATAAAATATATACAAAGTGGTATTTTAAAATTAATTTAATTTAACAAGATTAAATCTATATTTACCACAAAATATAATTAAATGTCCTTTTGAAATGATTTCGTATGGCCATATAGGGCCATAATGTCATCACGTAATAATAATTTCTATTCTTGGATGTGTATTGTTAAATAAGAATTATTAATTAATTTTTATATTTATTTTAAGAAAAAGAACAAAAAACTCATAATTATTTGCACTGTAAATGTACAGGTTGTTCTAAGTAAGACCTTAGACGTAACAAAGCCGCCCCCTACGCGGGTCGCATAATAAATATAATTTTATATCGCAACTTCCGCGCAGGTGTTCATAGATGTTCTGAACACTGAAACGTTACCTTATAAAAGTACATTTTTTATGGAAGGGTCAAGCTATTGTGGTTATTCGTCTAATCTATATCTATACTATTATAATAAAGCGTAAACACACACTACTTTGTTGCGTAGGATGTCAGCAATCACAACATTTTGAATAATTCTTTCTTTAATAAAAAACCCTACACTTATGACACGCTTTAGGCTATACATTTTCACACTATTAAACTTAAGGGGCAAATAAATTTGAATAATCCTTCATAAACCAGAAGCTTCAAACATTAAGGGAGCAAGGTTGCCATAATATAAAAATAACGGTAATTGTTATCCTATGACAAAGACCTTCATGTCACTGTGCATTTAAATTTTCGCAAATGTAAACAATAAAATTAAGTTTTTGCAATTTCATGCGGATGAAGCCGTACAAGAACAGCTAGTCATTAATCAGTTCCCTTAACTATTAAAATCTGTTTAATAACTTCTATATCTAGTCGATAAAGGCTTTGCAGAGATTTCATATACGTTACGTAATCCATAAATACCTATATGTAATATGTAATTGCATTTTTTTGCGTAATATCATAAATTCAGTTAATATAAGAGGCACGTGCTCGAAGGACCAACACACGGCCATATAAACCCTCCATACCAAACGTATCCGCACATACAGTGTGCACGTGTTCATTCAGTTTCACGGCGTGTTTCATTTCACAATCGCTACCGCACGTGGCCGAATCGAAATAAACAATTAAACTCACTTTGTAATCGCGAATTACAGGTTTGTTTTGAGTTAACATTATATTTTCAACTGAATATTGTTTATTAAACGTATAAATAGGTAGAAAAATTGTTTTCTTTTTATTATTAGAAAACCATTTTATTATGTATACTAATATTACTTACTGCGTTGGCGCAGCGACCCAAAGTGGGTCTTGGCCTAATATTACAAATAGAAAAATTTGTGATTTTTGTATATATTGAAATACTCAAAAACTACTCAACCGATTTCAAAAATTCTTTCACCATTAAAGAGCTACGTTATCAGTGAGTAACATAGGCTATATTTCTTACGGACGAAGTTGCGAGCAACACCTAGTTAAAAATAAACACGCAATGGAGCGTAAAATGTGTAGCATTGAAAATTCTTGTTTTATAAAATGTATGTAGATGCTCTTTTGATATCATTTGAGTTCTTTTTTAATTATAATGTCTAATTATTGTTGGTAATTACTCGAGCATTATCTGAGCAAAATGTTGTGATCGTGCCCTGATACGCGGGGCAGTAACATACATATATTATTACTTTTACGATTTAAAACAATTGAAACTAACTGAATTCTTACCTCTCTCCTGACTGTTCCGTTTATAACGATGCCCACGAACTCTCCATTCTCGTCTACAGCCGCTACTGACACCCCCTCGTGTAGTGTGCTCACCGCGTAGTCCTCCAGCTCTAAACATCTTGACTCTGGCGTTTCCAGAAGATTTATTGTCTGGTTCAGAGGTTCGTCGCGGAAGAAGAACCTGGTGTTTGATTTAAAACTTATTAGTGAAATTAAGAAATAATAAAAAAAAACAACTTATATTACTCACTAATAACGTAGCTTTATAATAGTGAAAGAATTTTTAAAATCGGCCCAGTAGTTTTTGAATTAATTCAATTCATACAAAAATCCAAATCTTTCCCCTTTGTAACAATAGTATAGTTATAGACAAGAATAAAATTACGTAAGGCTTGTCTAAAAACATGGGTTGTGGTTGTTTTGATTTGAATTGCAAAAAGATTACATCCCAGAGTTTGTCTTTTATACAGATTTTCCATAGTTTTGAGTAGATTTTGCTTGATTTTTGGCTATTCTTAGACATGAAATTACTAAGGTAGGTAAAATAAAGATTGGTCCATCATTAGTTGAATGACCCGGTCGTGTTGTCGCTTCAATGGGTTCGTTTAACTAAATCGAATTCTTTATCGCAACAAAAACTAGCTTCTGTTTTACAATCCGTTCTACATAATTGACTGTGAAATAGAACTTCTTCGAAGTTTCGCTGTGTTTACAATATTTTTAGAACTTGTTTACAGTACTACTAATAACACCAGCATTATTTTTTTGTCAAACTAGTCATATGCTGAAATAAGATTTATTTTGTAATTTAAATCAAATTTAATGCTATAATAATTGAATACAAAAGTTATCTGAATCTCTCCATTGACACCTTGTTTTACGTAAAAGGTATGTCTAAAGTATCGTAACTCATTATCGAATGCCACTCCGCTGTTTTCCAAAGGAATGTTTCAACGTATTCAGGCTGTTGCAAGAACGATACCTTCTGAGGAAGTCGATGACGGCATCCTTGTCGTCGGGGCTGAGCCGGCAGAGCGTGTAGGAGGGCTTCGCCATCGTCCTCGGCCGCAACTCCAACTCCGACAGCTGGGCCGGCAGCTTGTCCGCCAACTGAAGGACATGGAAGCCAACGCAAATATTAATCCATATACTATAAATGTATTAAATAGGGAGTGAAACTTATTACCTACCGCACTCATAATAGCCAATTAATTGCTAAGGGATTCTAATACTTAATCTATACTAAGAATGATTACTTAACGATTATAAATGTGGCTCTAAGTGGCGGAGATCTTGCGTGATTTTTTCAAAATTACGTTCTGTTTTCTCTATCTTAATTTAAAAAAACTCTTTTATATTAATTATTATATAATTAATTTTATATTAACTCTTTTATATTCTCTGATTTATATTAAGTATGGCATAAGTTCTTTTGAATTTTTTTTATTTTGATAATAATTTGACACAATATTTTTATTTTGAAATCTTGATAACTGTTATTGTCAAGGTTTTATCCTGGGTTTCTGCCAGTGCATCATTTCTACAAAAACATTTTACCTTTTGTACAATTGTTTCGGCAGTGGAAACTTATCGTTACGCATTTGTAATTTTGCATTGAATCAGTGCAAAACAATTTGTCATTGAGAATAACAGCGAAAGAAATTGAATAAATATTGTATGTTTTACTATCGAGCGAATTATGATATCATAACAATGATTTATTTCACATTGTTTATATAATTTCCTGATCAGTGACTTAAATATTTTACTTAACATTTTGTATATAGGAGTACTAGTTGCGCGTAAAAAAGTTATGCTTTCGTTAAATTGTAATGAGTGTAATTATTTCTAGCTTTTCCCAGCGGCATACAATCAAAAAGAACTTAGTAAGTACCCTATGTGTTCTTCCAGAATGTTTTCAACAAATTAGGCAAATATTATCGAGATCCGTTAAGCTGATATGAAGCAACTATAAAATTAACTAGTAAAAGCTATTAATAATTTGAAATAGCTTGCAAAGATATTTTCATTAACATTAGTTGTTCCCGTGCCGTTTTATCCGTAAGAAATTATGTAAACTTTATTGTTTACATTTGTCAAATCCTCAATTGAAAATGACAAAATTACCGTTACCATAGTATCCTTGCATTCTTAATGTTGCAAGCAGCTTGTAGTTATGGTGGTTATAGTTTATGGTTTAAATATATAGTCTAAAGCGTGACGTAAGTGTAGGGCTTTTTATTAAAAAATGAGTTATTCGAAAGTATGCTGTGATTGCTGATATCTTAGACAACAAAGAAGTGTGTATTAGTATAGATATAGATAATTATCTGTTTTATATATAGCTATCGTTATAGATGCTATCCAGTGACAAATAATATTAATTACAGCTACTTGATCTACGTTTTAAGTGCTCTGAATGGTGGAGTCACTTTCATAGCATGATTATAAGGATAATCTAAAACTCTTCGTATACTGCGACTCATTTTAAATGATCACGTTTGACCTGACCCGCAGTAAGCCGTGTTGATTGGATAGAGTATATTTTCATAGTGGATGGTGTCATATGATGATTCAATATGTAGCGTAGTCATAGTGTAATCTGACACCAGAGAATGTTCTAAACAATTGATAACCTGTGACGTCATTTAATAGCGTCATAAAGGACACGGTTTGCGCATAAGGTTGCAAATTAATTTAAAATGAATTGCTTGTCGCATTGACTCAGAGTTGTTAAGTTAAGGAGACCCTTAGCATGGATTCAGTAAGATGAACATAATAGAGGAACTCTTAGTAACCACCAAGTGAACTGTGCGATAGTTATTAGGTGTTCATTTTGTTCTGTTACGATTTTTAATTTTACAGGATTTTTTTTAATACTTAATTATTTAACATCAATATACAAAGATCATAAAAATAAACATCATACTAATATTATAAATGCGAAATTTTAGATGGATGGATGGATGTTTGTTAGAGTTTGTAACCTAAACGGCTGAACGGATTTCGATGAAATTTGGTATAGATATAGAGGATAGTCTGGAAGAACACATAGGCTACTCACTTTTGTTTTTTTTTTAATACCACGCGGACGGAGTTCCGGGCGGAAGCTAGTATGTTATATAATATTATAAATTTTAATTTAATGTAGTATGGAATCGGTCTATTTCTATTAATAAATATTAATAAATTAATATTTTTTTTTATTTTAATTAAACAATTATTTTTATACATTATTCATGCAATTAATAAATGATTAATTAATAATTCGGAAGTTTTAATATTTTGTTTAAAAAATGACATGTGAATAAAAATGTTTTTAAGTTTTTTTTTATTTTGTTCAAATTTTTTTTTAAAAAGAATAAAACAAATGAGTGTATATTTCCGACATAAAATAAAGTAAGGTCGGATGTAACAATTATCACAATTGTCTATGTTAGCAAAACCTCGCCGTGTTTCAGGTGGGCTTTGTTATATCGCTAGTGTCCGGTTTTGTTGCCTTGAATGACTAACTTATCTTAAGACCGCTTGTATAAGGAATAGTACACACTAAATACCTAATTATTGATTTGGGGTCATTTAAGGTTTTAAGCATTTTTATAGAAGTGGCAAACCAACAGAGGGTTGCCTAATATGCGTTTGTTTCAAGTGTAAAAATGCTTTAGTATCTACGCATAAATGCAAAAACTTTGATGAATGTTAGACAATGTATGCATAGATCCAAATTAAATTCGCTATTAATTTAGCTATGGAAGAAGTCATAGACTAATCAATATTGGGATGAAATCCTGACTAACAGCTAGTAAGTCTACAAAGTTACGTACTTACGTCTACACATGGAAAAATCTTTATTTTTAGATAATCATTTTGGTAATTCTATTGATGAAAACGTTGCCTAAGATCTGTGGTTTCAAAGCTATGTTTAACAAAATCAAAATTTGTTCACTGTTTGTCACCATTAAGTTAATTGCAGGGATATGATTTATGCATCTGCCTGTTTTGAGCCATATTCATGAGGGTTGTTATAGATTATTCCCAACCGTCACCCCGCTCTATCTCCACGTGAGAACAGATAAGAATAAATAGTTTCATCCGTCCCATTTTTTGAGATGAGGGGTCGTTTAGCAATTATTTTATTTTATAACGTTTCCATCTTTCACCTTATTGGAGAGAGTGGGCCTAAAAGACCTCACGTGGGGACAGATCGGGATGACGGTTGGGAATATTCAGTTATTATGTCTATATCGTTGATTGATACATTATTTATGACTCAATGAGCTGGAGCGACCGCGGATGTGTGTAAATCGTGATGTTATCTACTCAGATATAGCCTCGCTTTGTTCCAGGTACGCATTTATTTCTTTCCGTCTCCATTCCGGTTACGTTGCCTTGGTTACCTTAGTCTGTATCCTAGATAGGACTAAATAAAGATTCATTTAAACTATTTATAAAGCATTTGTAGATGTATTAAAAAGATCGAAAGCCTTTTAAATTGAATTATTTGTAACAGCCTGGTTTAAATTTTTAAAAATATGATGTAACTAATTTGTTTTTTATTAATAAAACATCGGCCCTCTGGTTGAACTAACTTTTTTTTTTAACAAAAATGTTCTAAATTCTTTTGAATTTTTCGAAAGCTTACATACGTTAACTCTACGAATGTAATTATTCAGTAACTTGTAATTACTCTTAAAAAAACAACAGTTCTACAGTGTAGGTTTCCGTATAGGTATTGATTTTAATGTGTATTATTTTAACTTAAAATGTTAATACGTTCGAAGTATAATTATTATTTGACACCGTGATTAATGCATTTAGAATGCATTCCTTTCACTTACTGCACCGAAATAATGCAAATGTACGTGCAAATTTTAATCTAAATAATACTTGAGTTAAAGTTCATTTTGATTCAACAGCAATGTAACAGCTAACAAAATTGTAGATAATCGATAACAATCGTCATGAATTACGAGTAGGTAGTTTTTCAAAATAAATTCTATTCCTGATTTTTTGTTACGTGTCAAAATTGAAATTGTAAATTAGTTTTTTTTTGCGGATATTAATCCTGCGGATATCAAGTTAATAGGTTACTATTTTTCTATACATTAGATTTATCAATTTTAAACTAGCTTTCACCCGCGTCTCCGCCTGCGTGGAATTAAAATAAACAAAAGTGAGTATCCTATGTGGTCTTCAAGACTATCCTCTACATCTATACCAAATTCCATCGAAATCCGTTCAGCCGTTTAGGCTACAAACTCTAACAAACATCCATCCATCTAAACTTTCGCATTTATAATATTAGTATGAGTATAAAGTATGATGAGATTATAACACAAAATAAATTTAATCATGAATTCTGTCTACCCAATTAAAAATAAACAGTGTATTAATAAATTTTATATGTTAATTATGGAGTATAAGCGCGTGGAATAAATTAAATTAAATAAATTCAGTAGCACGTTTAACTGAACAATAAAACAGCCGTTTGAGTGCACACGCTCGCTGGATTATGATATTCCGGCTGTTCTAGATTGTTTACAATTTACAATGTTATAAACAATTTGCATTCAATTCTTCAAGCGCCAATAGCCTAATGGTTTGGGGTACAGACTACCGATCTTGCGGTCGAGGGTTCGAATCCCGCCATCCGACTATTATCGTGAACCATATCTTAGCACAAGCCTAGCTTAGTTGGAGTGGTTAAAGGAAATATTTAAAAAACTAGATTTCGCCAGCGACTCCGTCCGCGTTGAATTAAAAAAAAGTAAGTAGCCTATGTGTTGTTCTAGAGAACCCTATAAATCTATACCAAATTTCATCGAAATCCGTTCAGCTGATTAGGCTATAAACTTTAACAAATATCCATCCATCTAAACTTTGGCATTTATAATATTAGTATGAAATATGATTCACAAAGGTCTATTAAGATTTTCATAAAAAAAATGTAACTGTAAGCTTTGATTGTCAAAACGTATAGATTCAATATGTTTCTATCCCTCTCGTTCATTTAAGGAAAATAGAGACAGATTTAAATGTTACAAAAGTAAAATTTTACAGTAATAAAACCTGTTTGAAGAATTCTTGATCACATTTTGGGATGGTCAGTT